GCCAGCCTCCTGGGTGCCCCACCCCCCCCCCCAGAGAGGAGCCCGCCGTGCCCACGGGAGGTGACATCAGCGTGCAGTGAGTGACCAAGCACTAGTCAGTCCCACGACATCCGCACCATTATGGCCACTCTTCCTCCTTAGCACCTCGGCTGCTTTTGAGGAGAAGAATGTGGTCACCAAGCTGGGAGACACCTGGCAGGAGAGGCCCGGAGCCCCCGGAGGTGGCCAGGGAGACCCAGCTGCACCGACGCAGCAGCGTGAAGACCCGAGCGCCCCAGAGCGGCAGAGCGGCCCCCGGAGACCCGAGCAGTTCATGGAAGTGGAGAGCCCGGCCAGCAGGTAAGAATCATGCTGCAGCGGCCTCTGCCTGCCCGTCCTAGAATTTCGTAAGGGGCCACGACGCAGTTGAGGGCAGCCTGAACCCCACGTCCATGCCAGTGCCCGGCACATTCACACACCCAGGTGCTCGGCCTCCTGCCTCATGTGGGGTTCCAATGGTGACTCCCTGGGAATGCAGCAGTGTCCAGGGGCTTCCTGTGGTGCAGGGAGCTGGGATAGGGCAGGTGGGAGCACGGGTCAGTCCCCAGAGCAAGAAGCCATGGCTGATTCCTGAAGTGTGGAGCAGGAAGGGGGTCCCGCAGAGTATCCATGCGTTGCAGCTTAGGGGTCTCACGTCAGGTGAGGGCTATTTGTGTGTATAAATGTCACTGTCAGAGAATGACGGGGTGGAGGTGAGTAAAAGAAAGCGGGGTGAAGCAGAGAGAGAGATGGTCAGCATGAGAGAAAGAGCTTGCATGAGCAGGCATTAAAAGGGGTGATGGCGGCATTGACAGTGGCCGTGGGATAGTGATGGGCGATTACTGGTGTGTGTCAGTGTGCATAAGAGAGCAGGTGTGACTGTGACTGGAGGTGACCATGTGATATCGGTTGAGGTGTCCTGACAGCATCCGGCCTGCTGGCCCCTGTACTTCGCGCCCTATACAACTTACAAACCTGTCGACATGTTGACAGATTGTTAAGACGCAGTGGCCTTGCAGTGTTCGCAGATTTCAGGGAGGGCAGATGCAAGCACTTACCACTTCTGCAGATCCAAGGAGATGGCTTCTCACACAAGACAAATGCTAGAAGGGGAGAGCCGAGAGTCTCACCACCCCAGGAGACAGGAGGTGGTACCTGTGGCTCCTCTAGCAAGGATAAAATAAAAAATGTTCGCCCCACTCATGGGACTGGGGTTCTTATACCATAGAGGTTCCGTAGTTAGTTAGCTAGGAGGCTATTTTTTGAATTAATTAATTAATTTTTAATTCTTTAAAGTCACCACATATTTGACCCCTTTTACCCCATCTACCTCGCCCCTCCCCTCCACCCTCTGGTAACCACTAGTCCATTGTCCATGTCCATGAGTCTCTGTTTGTTTATCCTGTTCGTTTGTTGCTTTTGGGTTTCTATCTCACATATAAGTGATATGACGCGGTTTTCAGCTATTTCTGTCTGGCTTTTTTCGCTTAGCAGGATTATCTCGAGGTCCATCCATATTGTCGCAAATGGCAGTATTTCATATCTTATGACTGAGTAATAGTCCATTGTATATATATATAACACAGCTTCTTTAGCCAATCATTTATTGTAGGACACTTCGGTTGCTTCCATGTCCTGGCCAATGTGCATAGTGCTGCTATGAACATCGGTGTGGAAATATTTTTTCGGATATGGATTTTCAAGTCTGTGGGGTAAATACCCAGTAGAGGGATTGCTGGATCATAGGGTAGATCAATTCTCAGTTTTTTGAGGAACCTCCATACTGTTTTCCATAGTGGCTGTACCAATTTGCAGTCCCACCAGCAGTGTATGAGGGTTCCTTTTTCTCCGCATCCTCTCCAGCATTTGTTATTACTTATCCTGTTGATTATAGCCATTCTGACAGGAGTGAAGTGATATCTCATTGTGGTTTTGATTTGCATTTCTCGAATAGCTAGCAATGATGAGCATCTTTTCATAATTTGTTGGCCATCTGTATGTTCTCTGGGGAGAAGTGTCTGTTCAGGTCTACTGCCCATTTTTTGACAGGATCAGTTGTTTTTTTGTTGTTACTGAGTTGTATGAGTTCTTTGTATATTTTGGATATTAGGCCCTTATTGGAGGCGGTGCTGCGCAGAAGCTTTTAAGTTTGATGTAGTCCCATTCATTTATTTTTGCTTTTTCTTCCCTTGAGGAGGCTATTTTTAGGGTCAGAATCACCTGGTAGATCACAGGTTGTCTTCTTTAAGAATACCGGACTCAACCTTGACTTCTTTGCTGATCCTTGGCCTCAGGCCCTGTAGGAGCCTAGACTAGAAATACTCAGCAAAGGACTGTGCACTTCCTGCCACATCCCATGTCTTCCTGCACCACTTAGTGTCCCATTTATCAAAAAGTGCAACCTGTAGATGAAGGAGGAGGCAACTGGGTTTCTTTGTGGTTGGAGAGGGGAGTATCAGGAGAGGCTTTCTCTACGGGTGTGACGAGGTTGGAAATGGAGGATTTTGTCACATGGGCACGCTGCGAATGCCATACGGATTCGGAGTTGCTGTAGTGAAGGAAGATTTAATTGCTGGCTTGGTGGGAAATGCTGAGATGGGGCTAGGGCGTCACCTGCTCCTAGGCTGAGGAGTGTGACCCACCTTCTGATGGCCTGGGGGCCACTGACAGCTTTCACTCAGGAGAGATGACCAGATGTGATTTGTAGGAAGATTCCTTGCAGCTGCTGCGTGTAGGATCAGGCTGGGGGGATACGGCAAGATCAAGCAGGAAACCAGTGAGGAGACTTCCTGCTCAGCCAGGGGAGAGCTGAAGAGGCTACAAGTCCTGTTGGCCTGTTAAGGGTCAAGGTGAAGGAAAGCGGTGGCCAAGACTAGGTGAGATTTCTGGGTCCGGCAACCGGGTAGATGATGTGGGCCCAACACTGCGATGAGAACTAGCTGAGGGCCAGCGAGGAGGTTGTGGGGGTGCTGCGCAGAAGCACATCATCTGGGCCGGGTTAATTGTGACGTGCCCATAGGGGACGTGGGCAACCACGTCCGACGTGCTGTGGAGTAACCAGTTCTGAAGATGAGTGAAGATGAGCCTGAGGCTGCGGAGTGGACGAGGCTGCCCAGAGAACGTCACTTCCATGGTCTCTGGCTATGCCGCTGCTCTCCCCTACTCTGCTCCTCTCGGGAACGAATGGCTTATTTGGTTGCCATTGGGAACAGGACCCTCCTTGGCCCCTAACTGTCCTTGTCTTTGGAAGCAGATAACTTTAGGTGTGCAGCCCAGAACTTTCCCCCTGAACTCTCTGCTCCTCTCCGCAAGCATCTGGGGCTGGTCGTCTAGCCCAGCCCTTGGCTGCGTGTGTGAGTCCCTGTGGCTCAGGAGTGCAAGGCGACTCTTTCAGGCTCTACGTGTAAAGCCATCTGTGTCACCAGCTGACATTTATCTCCACTTTATGCTTTTTTTCTGTCTTAAAAAGAAAAAACTGGGGGTTATTAACTACTGGCCCTCTAAAATCTGATTATATAATAAGAAAGGTAAAAAGAGAAACAAAGACAGATGAGTCAGAATTCTAGGAAATAAAATGGAAGGGTCTTCTAGAGGAAGAGGAGCTGAGGAGGGGTACTGAGAAAGAACCTTTGGGATAAATGAAAGAAACTGGAAACAGTAGAGTCACGGACACCAAGCTGGGCTGGGCCGTGGCCCCTGAGATCGGCCCACCAGATGTGGCGACATGGAGCCGATGGCTGCCTCGCGGGAGGCAGGTCGGGGGAGCAGAAAGGCTGCGGTTGGATTTGGGGGCATTGCGGAGGCGGTGGCCGGTGAGGAGGCGCGGCCGTGGAGGCGTTCGGCTCTCTCACATGTTGGCCATGACGTGATGGATGTGGGAGGGGTGAGTGGACAAAGAGCTACAGGATGAAGGGGCGGGGGCTTCCTAGGATGTATGCTGATATGCCCAGGGGGGGAAATCCCGAGCAGGTAAGGTAACTTTGCTGCTCGAAGAGAGAGTGAGCACACCTGAGACTGAAGGGTCACTGACGTTATGGGAGGGGCAGTATACCGCAGTAGGTTCTAGAGCCTTCAGAATGGAGGAGAGGACTGCGTCTCAGAGACGGGGGAAAGCTGAGTGCAGATGTAGGTCGGAAGACAGTGGGAAGGAATAAGGAGAGTAATGTGGGAGCTTCGATTTGTTCTGTGAATTAATGATCCACACGTTCCAGAATGAAACTGAGTTTTCCTTAGTTACTAGCTCCTGCCAAGCCGTGTGCTAAGCACTGGGGATGTGGACAAATATGACTTGGTCACTGCCCTCAAGGTGGGGCACAGTCCTTGACAGTGCTACACGCTGACCTGTGGGTGTGGATAAGGTGCTATGGCAGCGTACTAGAAGGAACATGTGACTTGGGCCTCGTGGAATCAGGGAAGGCTTCACGGAGGAGGCGAAAGAGGGCTCCGGCGTAGGGAGAGTCTACTGCGCTGGACGGTAGACAGGTAGCGCCGTGGGGTGTTTAAATGGCTGCAGTTTATGGTGAGAAGGCGGCAGAAGGGTTGACATTGGGCAGCTGGCTTGCGGACGAGAACTAACCTAGCAGGCCTGGTATCGTGCTTATTAGAAAGGCCTGCTTGCGACATGTGCCTTTGGCCTCCAGGGACTTGAAAAGGTACACAAAAAGTACACGTGTGAACCTCTTCCTGCATGATAAGAGAGAAGGCTAATGCCCAGGTGGCTTGTAGAAACGGTGTGCTCTATGCAGATTGCCCTCTGGGCGTTGGGGATTTTGGTAGGTGCCAGGCAGAATGTGCCTAGGTGACCAGCCCCTAATAAAAGCCTTGGGCCGTGACTAAAAACCCCACCTTTGCAGATCCAAATACAACCTCTCTTCTGCCACAGAAAAATAAACAGTATATAATAAAATTAGGCTTAGTAACTGATATTTCCGTATTTTATATTGCTTAAAATGATCTAGGTATTTAATGGATATCTATACATTTAGCATAAGTCGAAGGTTTAAAATTACCAAAAAGATCTTGGAAGCTGTCTTAAAGCTGATGTATTATAAAACATAATTACTGTGGAAACAAAGTTTTCAGAATGACTCAGTTTGTTCAAAAGCAAACTTATATTTTTATAATCTTAAACATCTAGTAGATGTAAAGCTAGTTTAGTCAACTAGTAAACCCGTTTTACTTTTAGGAAGAATACGTCCAAGTAGGATAAAAATATATGCTTGTGTTAGATGTAATGTTTATAACTCACAAGACATAGCTGTTTTTTTTGTTTTTGTTTTTTAAATTAAACTAGCAATAGTAAACTAGTCTTCTTTGGCAAAGATTTACCTAAACATCTGAACTTGAATTTTTAAAATATTTGAGTTAGTTTTTGTAAGAATACTTTTTCTTTTTTACATTCAAGGTATTAGAAATTGTTCTTTTAACTTATGAGAGTGTGGGGAATATTTAACTTAGATAAGTGCTTATTTATCACTAAGTATTTGGAATAGAGAATAACGGATTTTGTGAGTTAACTTGGTAATACTCTCAAGAGGTAAGAAAATATTACACACATAACATACATATATTCGTAAACACACAGACAAAATCAAGTAGAGATCTTATGGCTTCAATTCTACATTTCCAGCCATGAGTCAGGTATGTACACAGAAATAGAAAATTCACTGGTTTATATGAGTTGACAGTTGTCTGTGCCTCACTTGACGTATTGATCAGAATTGTGTTTCCGACATAGGACAAGTCGAGGTTACTTGCTCACTAAGAAGGCTAAAGCTTCCTACTGTTTGTAGAGGAGGCTTTTAAGATGTTTTGTTTTGTTTTGTTTTGCTCTGATACGTAATCTTATGGAGACTGTAGAGTAGGTATTGGATGAAGGACCAAAAAGAAACCAAACGCCAGTCAGGAAGTCTCCGAAGCTCATCTACCTGGACAAATCACCTAGAGGATTTCCGATCAAGTTTTTCAGCCTCAGACGGTTGTTTTCCGCCGAGGGGGGTGTCCCTGAAATCCTGGAGAACCCCCAATGGGGGCGGGGACGTAAAGGATAACATTGGACATACGGAGGAAGGGAGGCCGTTCAGCACAGATAGTTGGGGATATTGGGAAGCAAGAGCAGCTTCCGTGGAAGGTCGACGGGGAGAACGAAGTGACAAGACAGAAGTGACGAGCTCTTTCAAGATGTGTGGCTGCTGGAAGGGAAGAGAAGTGGCAGAGGGGCAGGGAGAGGGGCAGACATCAAGACCGGTCTTTTTGTTTGTTTTAAACGGGGTGTTTAAGTGATGAGCCCTCACTCCTGCTTCCGCCCCCGACTTGGGAGATGGGAAGTGTGCAGGCAGGTACGTGATGAGATCGAGCCACGGGGAGGGGGGTGAAGTGTTATCCTGAACGCCAGTCGTGAGCTGTAAGGGCGGCCTCACCCCAGGCTTTTCATCTACAAAGGAAAGATGAAAATGCTATTGCCCTGTAATAACAACGGTGACTACTCCGCAATAAAAATGACAAGGAATTCTCAGCCACGAAAACAAAGCGGCCACGATACTTGTGCGCCTGCGCGCGCGTGCGCACCAACCTCCCACGCGCCTCGTGGCCCGCGTGTGTACGCCTGTGCGCGCCGCCATTTCCTGCAGCCTTGAGTTCGGCCCGCGGTGCCCGCCGGGAAATTGGACTGCCAATAAAGAAAATGGCTGCCCTAGGAGAGTTAGGCTTTGGCAGGGCTTATTCTGCGGCTTTGCGCGCGGCGGCCGCGAGATGGCGGACGAGGGTCACAAAAGGGCCGGGCTGTACCTCTCAGGTCTCCTGGGCACCTATAGGTTTTTATGGCCTTTTTCCTCTATTGTGGGGTCACCAGCCCCTTTGAGTATCTGGAGAGCGTGACAGCCCTCTTTCCTCTCCGTCGCCCCAACTCAGCCCTCCAGGGCAGCCCGAGGGAGGAGGTCCTTCCCAGAGAGCTGGGCCCTGCAGGGCCTGGCTGCGTGCACGGGTCCGATCGCCCTGGCCGAGCTCCTTAGCCTGGGAAAAAGACAAGATGGCTTGGGACATTTTAGATGGGGCAGATGGACTGGGACGGGGTGGGCTTGGAGAAAGGAGCATAGCAGTGGGAGGAGGGGGACGGGAAGGCCACTGCTCCCAGCTGGGAGAAGACGGTGTCTTTAAAATTCCATTGAAGTGATCAGATGTTCTTGCAGACGCGGCCTTTGTCGGTGGGAAGGGAGTAGCGGTTCTGGGGTCCTTCCGAGGACACGGGGGCCATGCCGGGCTCCTGTGTGCCCCATCCCCCTCCCCAGAGAGGAGCCCGCCGTGTGCACGGGAGGTGACATCAGCGTGCAGTGAGTGACCGAGCACTAGTCCCACGACATCCGCACCATTATGGCACTCTTCCTTCCTTAGCACCTCGGCTGCTTTTGAGGAGAAGAATGTGGTCACCAAGCTGGGAGACACCTGGCAGGAGAGGCCCGGAGCCCCCGGAGGTGGCCAGGGAGACCCAGCTGCACCGACGCAGCAGCGTGAAGACCCGAGCGCCCCAGAGCGGCAGAGCGGCCCCCGGAGACCCGAGCACTTCATGGAAGTGGAGAGCCCGGCCAGCAGGTAAGAGCTATGCTTTCCTGGTCTCCTGCCGCTGCAGCTATGGTTCTTTTCAGGGTCTAGAACCCAGAACAAACCCTAACACACCGGGCACACTGGCCACCTCCTGCTGGCATGACAGGAAGGAAGCCCATGGTACGCTGGCCAGCCCCGAGCGTTTCAGGTGTTGGCCTCCACAGGTTTCAGATTGTAGCTGCAGAATCAGATCTGTTAGCCCAGGCCTGGTGCACAGAGCCATGTCGTCTGAAGCCCTGGGTCTGGCGATGGATGCTGGGTGCCTTTGCCATGCGTGGAGACAGTAGGTCTCCAATGGCGGTGTTCTCTGGCATGGCTGGGACTCCCTGCTGGACGTAAAGCACATTCAGTGAGTCTTCTACTTCCAACACAAGTTCAGTTTTCAATGGCAGCATTTGGGGGCTCCCTTCGCTCCCCAGATATATTTTCCCAGAGTGGCCCTGAGTTTTGGGAGTAGTCTCATGTGATCCGGTTGTAGGTAGCGGCCATATGCACATCGAACACATTGGCCAGGGTGCTGCCCGCCCGTCCTCAGGGAGCGCACAGTGCACCAGGGAACACGCGGTAGCAGCAACACCGTGACAATGACGTAGCATTTGCCACGTGCTGAGAATGCGCAGTCACCGTTTTCAGGCTTCGTGCGGACTCACTCAGTCCTCATACCAACCGTAAGGGAAGGACTGTCATTATCTCTGCTCTGCATATGAGGGCCTGAGGCAGAGGGAGGTTAAACAGCCAGCAGTCCTCCAGCCAGGCAGTGGCCGAACGGGGATTCGGACCTGGAGCCTGGACTGCTAATCGCCATGCTGGGTGTGCTGCCTCTATTCATGATGGGCCCGGAAAAGAAGGAACGTGGGCGCTCGGATGGCGGGAGGCCAGGACACGGGGTGTTGAAGCTAGGATGCTCTGGGAAAGCTTTTCTGCTCAAGAAGGGACATTTCAGTTGGGACCTAAAGGGCAAGGAAGAACCAGCCTGGCACAGAACCTGGGAAGACGTAGCACTGGTAGAGGAAGCGGAATGGATGGAGCTCAAGGTGGGACTGGAAGAAGGCCCCTGTGGTCAGAGCGTAGGAAATGCAGTGAGGAGGGGACAGGAGACCAGGTGGGGGTGGGGGCAGGGCTGGACCTTGTAGCAGGCGGGCGGTAGGAGCCTATGGGAGGGGGTTGGGAGGGAGGTGGGATGTTACCCCATGACGGACAGGGAGCCCTGCCATTGGAGGTCTCTCATCGCTCACATCCCCGTAGAGGGATCCCCGCGGGATTGTTTTTCACCTTGCCCCCTCAGCTCTGCTGTCTGTCTCACTGTTGCGCTGGGTGTGGCTCAGAGAATGCCAGACACTTCTTGCTCAATCAGAAGAGGATGCTGTTTCCTTCCCCTTGTAGTCCGTTCCCTTTTCACTCTCCCGCTCTGGATTCTGTCCCCCACATGTCTTTCCAGGCTCCCGTGGGGCTTCTCCTCTCAGCCCATTCCCTTCCTTCAGTCTCCATGGTACATTCCTACGTCATGGGGTGACATAGGAACACCCACAGGGTAAATGGGCACCTTAGGGCCCAGGGTGAGAGGGCAGGTATTCTGGAAGGGCTTCTTGAAGGAGGTGGTGTTATGTGCAAGGATACGAGAGAGCTCAGCATGGCTAGAGCTTCAGGTACGTGACATCGTTTGAGAAGATGAGGCTGCGGAGCTATTGAGCTGGTTGCGGTCTTGCGCACTGAGTTCTCTGGCAAGGAAGCGGTACCCCAGAGCCTGGGCCAGCTGGAAGCGGATCGCATCCAGAGTGGCAGCGTGTTGGGGACAAAGCAAAATCGGCCCAGGGCAGTATGCACCCATGGAGCTGGCCTGAAGCTTCCAGACTGCGTGCAGATGTTATGTGGATGTCACAAATGGGGCAGGGCTGTCAGCAGTGGTGCCCAACAGGTTGCCCCGAGTTGCAGTTGGCAGCTCTGACACCTTTTGGTAAGGGACCGGTGACCCGGCAGCAGGAAGGGCGACAGCAAGTAAGGGCCTGGCCAGAGAAAGGTCTTGTGAGCTGGCTAGAAGGTCAGATTCCAGGCCAAGGGCTGTGTGTCGCAAGTGAGGGGTGGACATTTGGGGAAACTAGCGCATCTGTCAGTTTCCTGCCCGTGCTTTTGGGCAGTGCATTCCACAGTGAGCCGCATCCAGGTCTCCTGCTTGGTGATGTTTAAATTCATTTGTTCCTCTCTCCTTCAGCCTTATGTTCTCTGGAGAGTTCGCTGGAGGATGGGGAAGGGGAAGCTGGTCCTAACCAAATAAGTCACAGGCCAGGGCCTTTGGCTGCCGTGGGGACTTCTGGGTGGATCCTGGAAGGTTGGGGTCTTGCCCCTGACTCAGTGTGACCTCGGTCACCTAGCCTGGGTTTTCTCATCTGCAGTCAGTGGTACCCCGCATTGACCTCAGGAGTCTCAAAGAGCAAAACCTCAGTGATTCGCAAGGATCGTTTGAAAAACATCAGCATTTTTTAAAAGTCCTTGGAGCAGCAGTGTGGGGATTAGGCCCCACAAACCCTGCCCGACCCCGTTGCTGTCAGCTCTCGGTGTGGACACTCTCGCCCCTTTCTCTACTCCCTCAGGGTGAGAAACCCCTCTGGCTGCCAGGTCACGGTTACAGTTAGCACTGCCGCTGAGCAGCCCTGCGCTCACACCCCGGCCTCCCCAGGTGAATTGGATGCCAGCTCAACCAGGTGAGAAGGGACAACCTGGGACCTGCTCTCTGGGCCATTTCCTCCCTGGAGCTAAAGGACTCGGCTTCATGTCCCATGTCACTTTACTGACATTAGCTCTAGTGCCTCCCCCAGCTCCCAGAAGCCCATCAGTTAAGGGCCCGCAGAGTGCATCCCGGGTCCTTATCCTATTGAGAAGCTGAGATGGCACTTGCTAGGGCTCTGCCATCCATAGGACCTTGCTGATAACTCTTGGGGAATGTGCCTGGGAAGTCCAAAGAACGGCCACTGGGGCCAGGGCCTATGTCTGTCTCCCCCACATCACCCATTGTAAGGAGAGGCACACACCCAGTGCCTCCCCTGCATCCCTGGCCTAACCTACACTTTTAGCATGTGGGACAGGAACCACTGCATGGAGGCTGAGTGGCATGCGTGTCTGGGGGGTAGGATCAGAAACACCTCTGCTGAATATCAAGCATGGAAATGGGGCCCAATTTGGGACTGTGCTGAGCCCAGCATGAGGCAGACTTTGTTTCCAGTATTGCGAGGGGCCCGTCCAGGGTGAGGTGACTTCCAGGCCTCTGGAACTCCAGGAGCGAGAAGGGAGACGTTAGGTTGCTGATGGGGATTCACAGAGAGCATGGAGAACCAGCGATCTAGGTTTGAGGCCCGGGAGCTCCCGTGGTCCCAGTAGAAGGGAAGGAAAACACGGATGAGGGATCGAAAGTCCACTGAGCTGGACGCAGGGAGGCGGGGCAGCGGGGCACCTCCTGGACTTTTGGGATCCCTGTAAAGAAGGACAGCACGTCAGCGTCAGCATCGGGTGCAGGGAGCCTCACATCCGCACGTGGCCAGCTGAACCCATGGGCTCGGATTTCAGCCTGAGTCACCAGCGGGCTCAGCGTCTGGCAGCTCCCATTTGCCACTGTCCTTCCCCAGCAGCAGCTGGAGCACAGCAGCGCCTCTGCCCCCCAGGCCTTCCTAGTAGCTCCTCCAGTTCCTTCAGACCAGCTGGCGGTCCTCCCTGCCCTGGACCGGTACTTCGTCCGTCGTTCAGTATACCTATTCCTGTTCTGCTGTGCTCCTTCTACAGCAAAGGGATCGTCTTCGTGAAGGAGTACATGAATGCCAGCGAGGTATCTTCCGGGAAGCTGGTGTCTTCACGCTACAGCAGGTAAGGACAAGTCCCAGGCCCCTCCATGCCATAGCCTTCTGCCAGGCCCTGCGTGCCCCTCCTTTCCACATCCCCAGCACCTCATCCAGGACTCGGCCCAGGGCATAGCTCCCAGGTAATCGTTCATTGCATGGATGAGTGACGTCATTGCCCACGGACATGATATATGCATTTCGAGCTGCTCTGCCTAACTCGGTGCCTTCGTGCACCGCCTTTGTCATTCATTCATCCTACGCCCACTTCCAGCACCAATCCTTTCTGCCCGTCTTTGTTTCTTGGTAGACCACAAGCTTGCTTTTGTGAAGTGCTGAGAGCATCGCTCTTTACAGAAGTGCCAAGGCCATTAGAAGAGACTATCTAGCTAATTTCACCCTGTTCCAGAACACAGGGCTCCTCTCTCCAGCTCCCACGCTGTGTCCAGCGTGTCAGCTTGCCTCATTTGAACTCCCATTCGAGCGTGAGTCCTGATACATGTGTTACTTTCCACTTATCATCTCTTGCTTTCTGAAGCCATGTGGAAGGTTAACTCCGTGCCATATCTATTAAAAACAGCCCACACCGAGCATCCCCCGGGAATGTTTTTTTTTTTTTTTGTGGCACATCATCCCACTGCCAGGGTGACAATTTTAGTAACTGAGAGAAGCATCCTGGCCTTATTTCATGGTTGGGCCTCCGAGGGTTCTGGACCGGTTTTCACTGCTGCTGTGAAATGATGAGCATAGGCATGGGGGTCACGTTCAAGCCCCAGCTCGGCTCCCATTGGTGGGATTATTTTGGACAAGATGCTCAAGCTTTTTGAGGCTCAGTTTCTTTATCTGTGACTCCTTAGGGTGGTTTATCTCGGCAGCTTCACTGAAATATAATGTACATACCATAAAATTCACTCTAAAGTGTACAATCTGGTGAGTTTTAGTGTACACAGTGTTGTGCAATCGTTGCCATCATCCAGTTCCAGAATATTCTCATCACCCCAAAAGGAGACCTTGTATCCACTGTACTTAGTATCCTTGCCTTGGCATTAGTTTTATTTTTTAACCATTAGTTTTATTATAAAAGTCATATTCTTGAAAAACAAAGATGCAGAAAGAAAAAAAAAAAAACCTAACTCGTAATCCCACGCCATAACTCAAGCACAGACATTAATTATGTCAGACTGTTTCCTTCTTTTCTTTGGTCCCATGTGTTGTGTCAGATTTCCGCTATGAGCGGGCTCCTGGTGACTGTCACATTTCAGCCCAGACACATAAGTGGCGGGGAGAAGGCCTGCTCCTTTCCCGCTGGTCTGTGAAGTGGGGAGCCTTCATGGTCTGCACAGCGCCAACAATCCCAGCCATGTGTCACCATGGCCGATCTTTACCCCTCATGCAAAGGGTCTTCTTCTCTGAGAGAATTATGCCTTCTTGGTGCCGGATGTAAAGCTGCTCCTGCCATTTAGCGTAACACATGGTGGCTGGCCGTACAGAGCCATGCCTCGGCTTGTGGCTAGAGGGTTAATGAGAAAAGCATCTCCACACATGACCGGGATCTCATCTTCTGCCCTCCCCCTCCCCCGTCACACCCCCTGCAGCGTCGGCAGCACCGAGGACTCGTTTGATGTGGAGAAGAATCCCCCACACGACGGCACACCGTACCCCGACAGGTAAGCCGGCTGTCTCGCCAGGGAGCTCACGGGTCTGCCATCTGGCTGCTCTCAAGGCACTTTCAGATCTGTCACACTGCCGCGTAGAGCAGTGCTTCCCTTATCGGGATGTCACACTTGTGGCAACTGAAGCCTCGAACCCAGCTAAGCCTGGAGAGCGAGTACAGAGGGCTGCCGAGGAGGGGACAGTGGTGTCATGGACTTGCAAAGCCGACTGGAAGGAAGAAAGTGATGAGAGAGAGTGGTGGGTGGAGAATGAATGCAAGTGGGTCGCTGTCATCGAGAAGCCAGAAAACGGCCAGAGAGAACCATTCGTTTGAAACGAATGAAGGTACAGAGAGCACCTCATTCAGCCGTCACAGGATGGTCTTCATGACAAAGAAATCCTTTCTTAATTCTGGGAATAGGAGAGCAAGGAGTCTTAGACGTGCAGTTCACTGAGGTCACAATGAAGGAAACAGGTTTGCAAACAATAAACAGTGTGCGCTAAGTCACACAGCGAATGTCACAGGAGTCCAAGAATATAGGATGTGAGGTGCAGGGCTCAGTGGCCCTGGGCATGAACACAAGTGCTATCAAGACATGTGGCCAGGTAGGGCATACAGGGTCATGACTCTTGTAGAAGACGTGGGTCTCCCTGTTCTAGAGGGGACCAGATCTGCTAGGCAGGGGGGCAGGGAGCGGCAAGCTGCCCGAGAGAAGAATCACATTGGGGTGTCTGTGCAAACGATAGTAAGGTGAACATGCATGACCACTTTCTGGAAATAACGTGAGAGTCTACAGAGGCCCCGTGTGGCCCAGGCCTGTATGGCCAGTTACACACTCCAGAGAAAGATGGTGGGCTGGGAATCCCAACAGCAAGCCAAGGCCTGGCTGTGTCAAATCAGAGGCTCTGGCTGCATCTGATCGGTGCCATGCACACAAGCCTGACCACTGGGTTCTTGTTTTTCATCTTAAAGAACGACTGGGGAGATCTGTACTTATTGCAACCGAGAGATCCGAGACTGTCCAAAGATTACCCTTGAACACCTTGGCATCTGCTGCCATGACTATTGCTTTAAGGTAAGCTACGGACAGTGTCGCCCAGAGTCAGGGGGGTCTCATGGGCTTGGAGCGTGTGGAAAAGGCTCAGTCTCCATCTGACTGCGCCCATCTGAGAGGCTTTGGAGAACTGGGTGCTGAATGAACTTCCAAGTTCAAGGGAGTGAATGAGCGTTGGGCACTGAAGCCTGACTGGAGTGGGCTCGTGAGGGAACAGGACACGTGGAAATGGAGGAAAAAAGTGAGTCTTGAAGACCGTCCTGTGCGGTTGGCTTTGTTGGGGAGCAGCACAAGCAGAAAGCAGGGTGCAGGTGTCGATGGGGGCGATGCAGTGGACAGCAAGCACTGACGATGCAGGGCAAAGAAAGGTTCGTGATGTGACCACAGGGTACTCCTGTAGGAGAGAGACAGAGGGACACTGGCTGACACATGGCAGGGAAGGAAAAGCTGAGCATGTGGGTCACATACAGGGAGATCCCCAAGTTGGGTGCTGGAAGAATGAGGAATGTCTTCGCAGTCATTTCTGTTGTGTCAGTCAGGGGAAAACATGTCGTCTGCGAGTGAGGGGTGGGAAGCAGTGTTGGATGTTTGAGGGGAAAGGGGACAGTGTGAAATGTTGTCTCAGGGTGGGGATGGATGGACCAGGGGAAAGTGGAGGCCGGCGGAGCCCACTTGAGCTGAGGGCTCATCCATTCCTTCTGACACTGCCTCCTCTATCTCTGTGCTCACGCGTTGTTCCATGTTCAGGGGCAAGAGTGAGTCAGGGGCAGCTGCATTTTCCCAGTGGAGATTTTGCCTGGTGAGTTGGCAAGATGGAGGCTATGAGCAAGGGAAGCGTAACAGTGAGGCAGTGAGCTGGTCCATGTATTGGAGGTCCCAGCAGCGACAGAGACCTGTCTAAGTGAGCTGAAAGACTTGGGAGTCAAGGAGTGGGACACCTAACTGCAGTACGTTTATTGGTAGTGACAAGGTCTAGAGCAGCAGTTGTCACACTTGAGCATGCATCTCACACTTGACCGTCCCCCGGAGGGCTTGTTCAGACACACAACACTGGGCCCCAGCCCACTTTCTGACTCAGTACGTCTGGATGGGACCCAAGAATTGGCCTCTCCAACAAGTTCCCAGGCGCTGCCAGTCCAGGGACCCTACGTAGCATCTGGTCAGAGCAGTGGCTGCGGTAGAGACGGGGCCCAGAACATTGGCAGAAAGGAACAAAAGACCAGGGCGGTGGGGAGCTCCACCCACGTGGAACTAACTGGACGTTACTGAGGACGGGACAGGAGGGCTGATGCAGGGGGAGAATAATCCAGATGCAGAAAGCACAGACAGAGGGGCGTGGCCTGGAGAGCAGTGGCGCTTTGCAATAAGGAGGAGACCTGAGCGGGGTGGGGGATAACTTGAGGGCCAGATGTGTTTTGTGGACTCCCAGTAGGATGATGTTTTCCAGCGTAAAGATCGTGACACGTGCTTTGACACAGAACATTTTGTTTCCCGCTTCCTGGACTTACATGAAAAGTCCTGCAAGATTTTGTCGACTTTCGGTCGTATACTCAATCCCAGAGTGCTCCTGTTACACAGCAAAATTCTGGAAGTCTGAGTAACAAGCACCTCTTGACGCATTTGGTCTCACAGTGCTAAGTGTCACAAAAAGGTACACTCGCAGTGGGCAGGGGTCTCCCGGAAGGCTTTGTGAGGACGTGGGTCTGGAGTCTGAGGTGCGGAAGCGCACAGGGCTGTTTTCCAGGCAGGGAACATGAGCACAGGCAGCTGCCTTGTGGCCCGTGGAGCAGAGGGAATAGGGGTAGGAAAGCAGGAGGCCGGCAGGCAAGGGAGGAGGAGCACTGGGGACGGAGGCGGGAGCGGCAGCCATTTTAAACCTGCCTGATTGGGGCTCATAGAAGAGCTGGAGAAGTTGGAACTATGGCACACAGCAAGGTCTGATATTATTGGGGGGTTCTTGGAAGGTGGGCCAGATGCCTGAGAGCCGCCCCATGGGCCATGAGCACGAACGTGGAAAAGCCTTTATTTTTATAGGTATTCCAGAGCTGCTCAGAAATGGGGCACAATCCGTCTACGGCCATGCCACCCTGACCGTGCCTGATCTCGTCTGATCTTGGAAGCTAAGCAGGGTCGGGCCTGGTTAGTACTTGGATGGGAGACCACTTAGGAAGACCAGGGCTGTAGGCTTAAAAAAAAATGGGGTGCAATCCTGGTCCCAACATCAGAGGCAAGTTATCTCGTTGCTCAGTCTCATCTGTGTAAACTAGTCTGTCAGTGTCCTTAAGTGTAGGGTTTTCTTACCTTTATGAGGTCAACATGACGTTTTAAAATACTAGTTTCTAATGTTACATTTAGGGAAAAAGAACAGCCATGGCTGCAGCATCGTAATAACCCCTGAGTCCCAGTTCTCCGCAGTGTGAGGCACGTTGCAAGGCCAGATTGGTGGTTTGTTTTTCTGTGTTCCTAGAGGTGACCCCCTAAATGATCAGCACCATCAGTTGGCTAAGTTGAAGTTCAAGTCCTAAAATGACAGAAACATAATACAGTAAGTCCTCACTTAATGTCGTTGATAGGTTCAGCGACTTTAAGCACGTAATGTTATGTGGTTAAACCAATTTGAATGTGTAACGCAACCGATTTCACCACAGGCTGATCGATAGGAGACTTAAGTTCCTACAGCATCTCATCAACGTCATAACAAAACGTTGAACAAAATGATATTATTCGAGGACCTGCTGCCATGGATTTAGGGCTCAAACCCAGGCCCAATTCTGAAACCTGGGCTCCCAAGCACTGTGCGATCATCATGCCTACTAGTTTTTTGTGTGGTTTTGTTTCATTGCTTCGTTTCCCATTTGGATTTTGCCTGTTTTTTGCCATTTTTTAAATTGTCTGCTTCCAAGCCCGGGGCGTGCCTTCTGTTCAGCGGCTGCCTGCCCGCCTTGGTCAGGCACCCCGTCCCCAGTTCCACTTGCTAATGTCGCTTCGCTTGTATGTTGACCCCTGACTTGCTTTCTCTTTCAGTGCGGCATTTGCAGTAAACCGATGGGTGAGCTCCTGGGTCAGATCTTCATCCACCGTGACACCATCCACTGTGGGAAGTGCTATGAGAAGCTCTTCTAGGTGAGTGCCAGCGCCCCAGAGGCCAAGCAGCCAGGATTGTTAAAGGAAACGAATGTGCCCTGGTCCCTCTCTGCGTCAACCCAGGACGCTGCTGGCTCTCTTAGCCTTTATGTTCATGGGGCCCTGCGCCCTCATTTCCCCGTGTCCTAGGATACTTTGAAGTCTTACATGGAAAGAGCCTCCCCAGGGCCACTCGCAAGTTGCAGGGGTCACAGACTCTTCCTCTCAAGAAGCGCCTTCCATGCAGTACCCCCAGTTGAGCCCGCTAGCTGTCCTGGCAGGCCGGCTGGGCCCGTGTTCTTAGCCTCACTGGGGGACAAGGAAATAAAGACCTAGAAAGGAACAGGGCCTGGAGAGACACCTAGCTGGATGGCAGTCGGTACCTGAACCCGGACTTCGGATTCAGGTCCAGGGCCTTCCGTTATAGCGCCTTGGACAGCGTCAGATCAGAACCCAACAGCCACAATGTTTAGCGAAACAAGATACAGCCGGGGGGTCCCGCAGCCGGCAAGGGCCGGGATAAGCAGGCATGTGTGGGAGCGGGTAGTGCCATCCTAGGGCTGGCCCAACCAGGAGGGGTTGCTTGGGACTACGTTGTCGACACTGCCCGAAGACAGATTTGCATGTGACAAGCCAGCAGAATTGACCCGAGTGTCTGAGGTGCATGCACCCACTGTGCATAGGGCACCGCCTTCCCAGATCCTGGCGGCCCCCACTCTTCAGCAGCGCCTCGGCCAGAAGCACAGAGCAGAATATGTCCCTCGAAGGCAATGGGAGTGGGTCGCAATCAAGCGCTCCACCGGCTCCAAGCCAGGTCCGCCTTCTCCCCAGAAGGCACACTGCTGTTACTAGATGGTTGCCGCTGATGGCTGGAGCAGTCACCATGCGAAGAGCCTGTGGCTGGCCGCTGGACTGCATGTGGATTTCCAGTCTCATGGCTGCCTCTGTTTTCTTTCAGCTCCCTCAGACTGAGAAGAAGCTGATGACTCCTGGACAAGATTGGCCATCCTCAGTTGTCCCAAGTTGCTGGCTCCTTTTCCTCCACTTCCTCCCCATTCGATCGCTTTGTGCTTTTTGCCTCTCTCAAGTTGAATTTGCTGACATCGAGTAGTGTATCTTAATGATGCTACGATAATTACTTGTGCGTGTAGCTTTTTACAGCTCAGAAAGCACTTCACATCCATGATCTTATTTCAGGCTCAAGCAAAGAGGATTAAACAAGAATCCTATCTTTGCTCCCCTAAGGCATGTCGGCTTCCTGATGACTTTAGGTGGCCTGGTGTGATAGGCAGGAACATTGGATTCAGTGTGTCCTGACTTGAGACAGAGAGCAAATCACATTTTGGTTCGCAAGTCTGAGGGTACCTTTGGCACTTGACAGTGGAGGGAGACCCCTGCAACTTCTGAGGGGTCGGGGGGCCGAAGACTGTTGACGATCCCCGGTGGGTAAATTGCAGACATTGAATGCTAGGAATTGGCATAGGCCAATGTTTAGCTTGTCTATTTGCCATATATACATTTTTAAACTTTCCATGTACTTTTAAAAGTAGTTAGTTGCTTTTGATTGAGTCATATAGCAGATTTTTATTACCTCCTTCTACCCACCTTTCAGTTCATTTGAGGTTTTTTGGTTTTTTTTCTTGCAGGCATGTATTAGAAAGTTTATACAATTTGGTTAAAATTCTATAGCACGTGATTCGTAGGAGGCTACTGACCAAAGGGACATCTGTGTCTGAATCTTGATAGCTGATTAATACGTTTGCCTTCAATCCCTGATCTCTAAGTTTTATACAGAAATTTCCTAAAGTAGGCTTTAGAGTGTGTGTACTCCAGGGTTAAGAAAGGAGAAAAGCAGCTAACATTTTCCGTACCAGACGTGAGCACAGAGCGATGGCGTTAATCCTCGTACCAGTTCTCAGTAGAGGGCCTTCTGTCCCCAGTTTACAGGTGAGGATATTCAGGCTCAGAGAGGCGCTCACTGCATGATACAGAGTCATCACTGAAATGGCAACCACAATAGCCAGCATTGATTTAGTGCTGAGTATGTGCCAAGCACTGTGCAGACGTTACCTAATCCCACCAGATAACACCGCCCCCTCAGGCACCGCAAGGGCCAAACTGCCCCCCTTCCCTCTCCTCCCCTTTGCATGAAAGCACTTCTGAACTGAGATGCTTTCTGCTGGGAAGAGATCTGATTCAGAGACCTTCCCAAAGAGGAGTTTGTCAACCCAGGGAAAGCTCCAGGAGGCTAGCCATGACCACAGAGCCTTCAGTGACCTCCTATTTTCCAGTCCAGACTCTGGTCCACGCTAGCGGAACGTGGAAGTCAATTGGCCAACTGGACAGACACAGGCCCATCTGTGCGGTCAGCCAATGCTCTGCTCAGGTCCGACTGGGCTTGTCCGCCTTTTGGACCAGCACCACTGTGTAAGCTCCTTGAGAGGAGGAACAACCTGAGAATGTTTCTTATGGAAAATGAGGGCCTCTTCTCCTGATTTAATTAGAAAATATCTACCCCTCCGCTTTCTGAGCCCTGTGCACGCTGGCTGGTGGATTTGTTGTTCTCGCCAAGTGATGCATCGATTTGCATAGATGTGCATCAGATTTGCCCGGGAGGGGAACAGTGGCGCAGCATGCCGTGTACTGACACTAGCTATAAACCAGTCTTCCTAAAGTCTAGCCCACAGCGTGGGACTTGGCACATGGTACGTACTGGCTACACATAGGTGCTGAAGGAATGGGTGAAAGGGAAAGAAGGGTCGCTCCTTTGGGTGGAAGGCGCCATCCATGAGGCCTGGTACAGGCCCAGCTGATGGAGTGCAGGATAAAGAGGTCCAAGATAGGCTGGCTTCTCTACCTTCAAGGGAGTTTTAGAACCAACATGCAAGATATTGACAGAAAGCTTACAAGATCAAGATCGATTTCAATCCCAAACAACCTCTTTCAATTCTAAAAAGGCACGGAATTCTGCAGACTCTAGGAAGAGGGGTGGTCGCATTACACTTTTGCTTCTTTTTAATTGCCTGATGTTTTTAATCATACTTGCTTAACCCACATTAATGTACACGATTATAATAAATATTAAGATATTACATTGTTAATATCAAGGTTTCCTTTTTTTAAGTTAATAACTTGGTGTATTTGGTCGTGTGATTTATTCTCTCCTGTTACCTGAAGCCATTCTCTCTACACAAGCAAGTAAATAAGTGTCAAATCTAAAGAGAATAAAAATAGCAAGGTCTAGAAACTATGCATGCACAGGAAGTAGGAACTCTAGACTTGTCAGATCTTAAGAATATTTTATTCTTTTAGGTCCCTCCTCCCCTTCAATACCATTTCAGACAAGTGGCAGCCTAGTCCTTGTTGCACACTTGGAATGACCAGGAACGCAGTCCCTTACAAGCCCATTTTGTCTGTGGACAGACTCACCTGAGTTCTGTTTAACTATCTATCTCCCACTGGTGATCTAGAAACCTCTCTTATGTGTCAGCTCCTAAAATAGATGAGATGCATATCAGGTTCTCCCTTTGTCAGCTCTTCTCCCATTTAAATAGCCCTGGTCCCATCAACTCTTCTTTGCCATTCCTCCAGATGTGCACCAATAGGCAAGGCCGTTTCATCAGGCCAGTGCCCCAGGCTGTCAGAATCCTGTTGAAATGTCATTGTGTCTATTGAGTGATCCATGCTTCTGAGTTTTATGTCCAAAAATACAATTTGCATACCATCTACATCTTGACCCAGCCCAGGGACAAAAAACGGTGATCCAAGAAGTCAGTCCAAAGACAGAAGACATGACAGAAATCCCTCCACTACTAAGCAGGGACCTTGGGACCCAGTGTTCAATAGATATTGAACTAGTGTCTACTTTCTCACCCCAGCCTCAGCCACCATCTTGGCTACAGGAGTACATTTTACTATAAAAAAACAGCCATCACGCCTAACGAGGTGTTTCCAGGACTCCTGTTGGTGACAGTATGCCCAACCCTCCCCCCCGCCAAAAAAATCCCTAAAAAACAAACCTAAAACCTAAGAAAAACCGAAAAAACTCTAAAAAATAACAGGGTAGTGCTAGTTACTTTAAAAATTGTCAGGTCATACCTGATTTTATAAGCATCATTCTCAAATATGACATTTCAGTCAAAGCCTTGGTTATATAACCAATGTTTGTAATTACATCCCGTTAACAAGGAGAGCAGGTTCTCATTGAACCTAGGCAAATAATTGTATTGCCGTGAAAATTAATGCTCAAAAAGAATATCCAAATTCTGGAGGGATCTGGCAGGGAGAAAAAGATAAATGTTTCATTTCTGTTCACAAAAGCAGAGTCTACTAAATTGTTACAAGTTATGTATAGCTTGAGAGACATGAGAAAGGAGTTTCTTCTTTTCAGAAAAACAGAACATTTAACATCAGCAATACTCCAAACAAAACCCAGAACCATCCTTCATGACTTCATTCAGTCCTATATAACTAATTCTTGTTCTGCTAATGCTTGGGCTAGCAGTCTCATGAAGCCATCAGCTTCTTCACTGGAGTTCTGGCAATTCTGGCTCAGTCCAATAGTAGGATCTCAAAAGTTATTTCAGCAATGCCATCAGAAGCCTGTGCCCCCGGAGCACCCGGCATAGTCTTTTCCATGGGTGTCTGAGATGGTCCCTTTTTCTTGAAAATGAAGCATTCTGGCCTGTAGCTGTTTGCAAGCGCTTTCAGGGAAGATTCAGCGTAAAAACAAACTGTGCATGACTTAAACGCCCATGGTTACATTTCTGATGAGAGTTAATTACAAAAATCATGCGATTGACAAATTCGGTGGTTTCTGTGGCGAGGAGCATTTTAAAAATGACTGGTAATACTCTACTGTTTATTATTTAATATCAGAGCCAAGCAGATCCAGGGCACATGGGGGACAGTGAGGGCACTGGCAAATCTCTAGGAACTTCATACAATTTCTAAAATATTTATATTAATAACATTTTGCCCACACAAATTTAACAGTGAAGGTTAGTCATGTCTTCTGATTGACAAAGCCCTCCATGCAACTCAATATATCAACTAAACCTAATTATTTTAACACATCTGTTTTTACAATGTAAAAGGGACTTTCCAGGGTCCCTCAGAGAAGGTTGAGATCAGGAATATATAATTTAGGATTTGAGTTTAGGAAGGCAAAATTTCAAAATTGTCAGGTTTGAACCCCCGATTAACTAAGATCATGCATCTATGAGAAACTACTTGGCTTTCTATGTAACCAAAGTGACAAAATATTTTAAAAGTAAACATAGGAAGTAATGCAATTGTAAAGAACCTTAGTTCTTTCAAAAGTGAGAAGGCTTGGTTTTGAAGTAATAAGGAGAAAATAAAATCGACATAAAGCAAAGAAAATTATTTTAAGACACAGAATCTTTGCTTTTTGGGTTACTCAAAAACCAAAGGAAAACCTTTTAGTACCTCTTATTAAGAGCAGACCAATAATCTAAAAAAATTTCCATTTTTAATAAAATCAAATTCTAGTTTTGCATCAGTGTATTTTTTGATATTACAGCTTATTTTAAAATATCTCGTAAATAAACCAATTGAAATTCAGCCAGCTCTGACCACGAGAAATAAAATTTCTGTGAACCTTCTACAACTTTCGATATTCATTCAGGTTTTGTCTGTCAGCATAAAAATAAAAAGTCCAAACCTGTAGAGGATTTTCATAAGAGTTTATTTCAGCCAAACCAACAGCATATACCAGGGAGCAAGATCTCAAATGCTCCAGAGGATAAGTTTGAAAGCTTCTTTAATGCATTTGGAATTAAGGAAGGGAACATAAGTGGATT